GCCAGTTGGTCGGTGCTTAATCACGCTTATTTGCTTTGCTAACCTGCACCAGTTTATGTTTTATCTTCGGCTATTAGTTTTTGCGTCCCCTTCCAACTGTGCTACGATCTTTTGTTTTTAGTTGGCGATCTAATCGTGGGACATGAATATCAGTTTCGAGTCCTGGCTCACAATGTTGTTGGTTGCTCAGAAGCATCCGAACCGTCTCCGCCAGTTACCATACATGCAAGTGCAAGTAAGCCTTGGTTCGCTGAAGAGCGATGTTGTGATTGTGTCGTAAAGGACATGCCTTTCTGTTGCAGCTGGTGATGCGAAATACGTTGAAGCTGAAAGATTTGGAGCGATAAGGTTGCTGCAGGAAGAGATGATTCGAGAATCTCCACCTCTTCCTGAGAGGGATGATTCGCCTCCACCTCTGCATCGAGGGAAAGGTTCTGACAAGTGTAGGATATGTTTGTAGTCTCGTGCTGAGTTTGGCATCGTGGCTTAGTTTATCTAATAGTTCTTGCTTTCATATCCTCCTAAATCTGTCGCATTTTCAGTGCAATGGCGTGATCCATCGCTGAAAGAAGTAATCGACTACCTCGATAATCCTGACAGAGAAAAACAGTTGAACGCCAGCGGGTATTTGCAACATCTGACGTACAGTGATAATCTGATCAAGGATGAAACGAGGTGCGTCTTTCTTGTTTTTTGCAACTTGTTTCATCTTTCTGCCTTCCAGAGAGTACGGTGGAATTCCCAAGTTAATACAGCTGCTAAGGAGTGAACTTCCGGTGATACAAAAGAACGCTTGTGCATGTTTGAAGAATTTGTGCTACGGGAAAGAGAACGATAGGAATAAGGTATGTTCCTTTGGTTTTATCTTGTTTCTCTTGTTTTCCTGATTGTCATAATGTCGCCTTGTTACTATGTTTGTTTTGATTTTGAATTATTCGCGAGTACTTGTTGATTTATTGCGGCCATTCGCGCTAGAATGATAGATTGATCTGCACCTTAGGCATTTCTTTGAAGTTGACTGAGGCTGTTCAAGAAAATCTGTACGCTTCCGAAACAATCCTTCAGTCTTTGTTAATCTTTGC